GGGAGTGTAGGTTTGTTCTAAAGCTGAATTTGTATGTAAGTGCCCCGGGCACCCCCAGGCCAGCCGCTGCTGAAACTGCCCAGCGGCTGACTACAGGAAGCCTGAGGCAGAGTTGCTCTGTCCCAGGCTTCCTGGAATCAGCTGCTGATCAGTTTCAGCAGCAGCTGACTTGGGGACGCCTGGGTTTCTTAAATTGAATCTGTATGTAAGTCAGAACTGGCATCCAGATTCAGCTGCGGTTGAAACTGATCAGTTTCAGCAGTGGCTGACGCCAGGTCCGACTTACATACAGATTCAACTTAAGAACAAACCTACAGTCCCTATCTTGTACGTAACCCGGGGACTGCCTGTATAGGCAGAGAGCAGGGCCTTACAGAAACAAGGATGCATTGGTGACCATGTTCCTCAAGCTTTGAGGATTTCAGTGTATCAGCCAGAGGTCATGGGTCTATTTCAAAAGTGGGTGATGTTCTGTGGCATTCAGTGTATAGGTGGTCAGACCAGGTGATCATGATGGTCCCTGTGGTTTTAGTCTGAGTCTAGTTCCATATATAATTGCCGTGATGTATACTTATTGACAGACCCAGACTCTAATTGAAAATAGAGTTCAGCTGCTAGCAAAATAAATGGTTTGATATTGTTGTAGAGGTAGTTCATGTGCACACATGCTTATTCTCTGCCATTAACAAGCTTCTTCACTTATTATTATCTCTGAACTTTAATTGTGAATGACTTAAATGCTAGTTGGATTTCAGTTGAAAAGTCTAAGTGGAGTAGGAATATTCTAAAAACAGTATAGATGCTAAAATATCTAAAATGGCGTGGGGGAGATTAATAAACTAACAGGAAGCATCTGCTATTTCCTCTCAACAGGAGTTCGGTGTTCCAAAACCATATAGTTAAGTTGGCTTTAAAGCAGTGTTTCTTAAACTGTGTTCTGCAGCACACTGGTGTGCTGCAGGGAACAAGAGATAAAAATGGCCACCCTTGAGGCAGGCAACCTTTTTTCCCCCAACTTTTTTTTTTCCCTCAACAAAAAATCCTTGGTGTACCTCAAAAAAACTGTTTGGTGTTCAACAGTCTTAAAAAGTTTAAGAAACACTGCTTTAAAGGGTAATTTCTAAAGCTGTTTTGCATATCTGTTTCTAATTGCGGACAGCAGTAAAGACGACAAAGAGGATATTCCTGTTCTGAAAAATTGAGTTACAGGGGTGCACAGAGAGCTATGCTGTTCCTGATGTTTGAGAAGTTTTTACAGGTATCATGGGATAAATGGCAGGTGGCTGCTCAGTTTTACTATAATTTGGAATCTTTATCTGAACAGACAAGTTATTGCTGTTTACAGAGCCCAAAACTGTGCCCACAAGCGCCATCATTTGAGTAGGAGCTAGAAGTGAATTCTTTGTTAACTCTTAGTCCTAGAGAGGTCTGTTGTGCATTTATCTGTTGCTGACTAAAACAGCTATTTAAGTACCTTTTATTTATGCTGAGGTAAACCACTACTGCTGACAGGTAATTCGCAACGCAGGGTAAAAGTTTGGTTAACTATCTGAAACCTTTTCTGCTGGTAGCCCTGGAAGTGTATTCTAGAAAATAAGGTCCCTTTTCAAGCTTTGGGGTAATTAAAAGATTGCCCTCAGCTCTCCTTGGGTGCATATTGATATGGACTGGATTGCTGATTTTCTGCCTACTCTTTGTGAGAGAAGGAACAGTTTCAGAGAGTGAATACTGAGCACTCTGAGATTATGCACTGGTTGGTACTACAGCTGTGCTTAGTACCAGAGTACTTCACTACCAATAGCAGGGAGTCTAGTACTATGAATGCTATGAGGGTCCTTAAACACAGTGTAGTAGCAAGTAAGTTGGCACTAGTCAGGCAGCTAGATGGTATTGGTACAGGGAGTATCTGTACAGGGTGGGTGGGCCTTAGTCCAAAGCAGGCCATTGTTGGGCATGAGGGAAGCTGATCTACAGGGGTGGTGACTGGTGCCTGAATAGATGCCACCGGGACTCTTTCATGGGACTGAAGCTACTCCTTTCTACTAAAATTTAAGAGGCTCTTTGGTTTCTTGAGCAAGGACCACTTGAAGGAAACCTAGAGCTCATCTTGTGGCCTTAGTATCTCTGACCCTCTGTGAGGCTTTACCTTGCAAAGGCAACTACTCTAAGTTTCATTATTTCAAATCCATCTGTGTGTCAAGGAGCCAACAAACACACTACTTGATGCATGCTCAGGAATTTCTTCCCAGCCATCTCAGAATCTGACAGAGGCTACAATGACCTATGCAGAAGAATGGTCTTCAGATGGAATTTTTCAGTTCTTCAGGTTTTAGAAAAACTTATAAATGACAACTCTCTTTATGCCCTTTACTGTCACATAACAAGGAACACAACAGATGCTTGCTAAGAAACTGTCACCCCATATATCCACAGCATCCTTGGTCAGAAGATATGCAAGTCCCAACCAACCTTGGAACCAGTGAAGGCACGGTCTGATAGTTTGAAACTAAGTGTCCTGGCCACCACCTTCCTTGTGATAAAGGTAAAGTACAACATCCCTCCAGCAGAGAGGAAGAATAATCTCTAGCCAAGAATAGAAATGATAGAGACTATATATCACAGCAACTTAGAATAGGAGGCTAGAGCTTCTCCCTCATCAATAAGGAGGGAAATCTCCAGGAGTGTGTAAAGAGGGGGGAAGAGAAACAATTTCCACTTTTTGTGAGAGAGGGAGACAAAATTCCATCTTATTTAAAAATCAGGTTCTGTTCTTTTCACAAGATGCTCTTGTAAATGAGGCAAACTCCAAAAATACTATAGCAGCACATGCTTGGCTTGCATTTGCTATGGATTTTTTATAAACAGAAGTACTAAGCCCAAGTCTGAAGATAAATGTAATATATTGCAGAACAATCTTCTTGTAATGCATAGCTCCTTGCTGCCAGGGATTTCTCATGTGCCCACTGCTGGAAAAAAAAACCTAGGTAACTATAGCTGAATGGTCGTTTTTCAGCTGTAAACTGAAACAAAACTTCTTCACTATAGAAACCCCTAACAGAATTTCATTACTAGACAAGGCACATTACATCAATTATCTGTATCACATCACTTCTGCTTAAAAGGATCAAATACTAACTTTCCCAATAGATGGTATTCAGTCTGATAAATTAATTTTATTCATTTTCCCTTTAATGTTCAACTTGCTTCCCAATGAAAATGTAGAGGTAGCATCAGCAATATTTAAATATATAATCTACATACAAAAATAATCACTGAGCACTTAATGGAGTAGTTTTCAATATATTAATAGCAAACAGTGTTTTCACTTACTATTTTAAAACATTGTGGTTTGTATTCACAGCTTAACAGCCCCCAGTAATAGTTATAGGCTGAAGGATGGAATGGTGGTTCTGAATTCTTTTGAGAAGCTTCTGTGCCACAGGCTTGAACTCTGTTTCCCAACACAGTTTGTGATAGTTCCTTAAATCTCTATCAAAGCCATAATCCAATGCTAGTTCCTCATCTGTAACAGAGAAAAATGTTGAGAACTTTGAATAGAAACACCTCTGCATTATCACTAGAGCATGTACAATTTTTACCTGTTCTATATCCATAGCTTACATGCAACTAAGTGAAACCAAAAGGCACTTTCAGGAGATTAGGTCTAATGAAAAAAAAAAACATGAATGCATTTGGGCTCAGAAAAAAATAGCACTGTGGAGAGGTCAGTGGCTTCACAATAGTTGTCTACAAATAAAAGCTGTTTTTCTGCTCCTAACTGCCAGCTTGGGATTTCAAAGTCAAGCTGTGCTTGTTCTGGTTTGAATATCAACAGTAAGAGATTCTGCAATTACTTTTAATTACTGAATTTGTTGCTGTACAAGCCAGAAGGTAATCCAGTTCATTCCTCTATGACTGTGTTGGCTCATCCATGTGTCACTCACTGGTAATCTGGTTTTGTTGTTTTTTCCCCCAATTCAACCCAACAATATCCCATATCCACCATTAGAAGGCTGGACATATCTGGAAGGTGAACAAAGCAAGAAAGGACAGGAAAGAGTAGACTAGAGAAGATTAGGAAGTAATATTTAATGGCCACCTGCCTACGGGGAGAAGGGAGGAAAGTAAGATAAGAGAAGAGCATTATGACAAACAGGATTACAGGTGAGTAATCTTATTCCTTTTCTCCCATTTTACTCTGCAGCAGCCTTGACTATCTGATGTGGCAAGTAAGGGGGAAAAAGAAACTAGGACAGGTTTACAGTGCAACTTGAAGGAACATGCTTCAGAATTTAGAATCCACTACAGGTGCCAAGCACAACTGCTGGTTGTGGACAAATGTATGAGACAAGGACCAAGTTGGAGAGTTTTTCAACATGATTGAATCAGTTCAGAAGAGACCCAAGGTAAAACTACTTGCAAAATCTGTATTTGGCAAATCCAGCAATTACCAGCTATTGCTAGTAACAGGTAATAGATAGAGGGCCCCCCCCTTTACAAAGCAAAGGCAATTCCTTCTCTTTACTTTTATTCTTTGAGCACATAAAATGGGAACTGATGCCAACTTTGACAGGCTCTATTTCCTCTATAGGAATGGAAGCCACTTGACTGTAGGCCAGCAGAGATTTTCTGCATTAGTAAATTGAATGGGATCTTGGGAAAGCTCAGGTTGGCATTCCAAGGCAAGGGGTTGCAAGCCCTCCATACTGAGATGCCTAACTGAACAGCGGTGTTCAACACTAGTATGTGTGGTTAGGTGTGCAGAGAGGAAGGAAGGGAGAAGTTGAATCCTGCCAAAAGTAGTGGGGAAAGCTACCTTTAAAGCATGGACTTCTGAAGCTTAATAGAAAGGAAAAACAACTACGCCAAGAAGAATGTGGTCTTTGTGGCAAGAAACCCTGCAGTAGATGGCCCAAAGCCAGGATTTCAAATCCAAGCAAGCACCACCACCACCACCAAAGAGTTTGTATAAGTAGACTAGGGAAAGGACAGATAAGGGAACAATGCCTGTTCTTAGAGGAAATGCATTGACAAGCCCAGAGATTCTTTTCATATGCAAATTAACTATCTCTGACAAAAAGATAGGTTGAAAATAAATGGATAAAGGCATTGCCTGAGGGCTCTTGGATCAAAAGATCACTGAAGCATATTGTATATAAAACACCCCTTTCTGCAGCAAGTAGACTATGAAAGTCTTGGAAAGGACAGGAGGCAGAGACTAAACGAAAGAGAATAGTGCAGATATGTAACTGAATATTCCCCAAAGAGATGAATTATTATTGGCCAGAATGTATGGGGATCTTCTGTGGAAGTATGTAGCTATCTATCCAGGTACAAACTACATCTACTGTAGTTGGATAATTTCCCATCCCCCTTCTCAGTGTGGAAATCGGGGGTTTCTCCTGACCTACAGAGCATACGAATGCCATCCCAGGAGCGAGACCTACATGCAGCTACATGGCGTGGTGGAACTCAGGACTGGAGCACGAAGTGCAGGTTCTGTGCCATGAAAACTGGGAGAATCCGTGCAGCCTAAGGGTGGGAGCAACCTAGGAGCGTAGGCCAATACCAGGTTATAGCAGAATGAAAGTGTATTTAACCCTGTCACCACCATCATGTAAATGAGATATGGCACAATTGTGTTGACACATTAAAACCCACAGAAAGGGAAGAAGGAAAAAGGATGAGATAATGGAAGTCTTGATAGCCAATATCACAAAGTACACTGCTGGATCTTCCCAGATCTGCTGTTCCTGAGGCACTCCGGAGGGATAGCTGAAGCAGCTATGCACAGTGAAGAAGTGGCAGGCAGTGGATTAAGTGGAAAGAGGATCTCAAGGGTAGCAAGCATACCTGTCCCTGAGAGAAGGCGTTATTTACTGGCCGAGCTGCTGGAAAGGGGCGTGAGGGACAGCAGCAAGGAAATCCAGTCCTCCTTTCTGCCCTTTTGACACTTGCTGCCTGACTCTTCTCTATCCAGACTTTCCCACTCTCCTTGTCCTTCATTTTGGTCTTATTTATTTCACATATCTTCTTGATACAGATAGTTAGTGAAGCTGATGAACGGAGATGACAGCTGCTCCAATGCTCAGGAGCCAACAAGTGAAGGAAAATAACTGGCCTGCTACTTATGTACAGCCTATTAATTGACTGAAGTTGCCTCCTACTTCCTGACTGGAAGATCCTTAATGCTGATAATCCATCCTAAGTCTCTGGGTATAATGGCAGGAGACGGTTGTAGGCCAATATTAACTCACATTTTTCACTACCAAAATTCAGCAACTCTCACACACAGAGGAAGTAATTCTGATGAGTAAGAGTGCTATTTTTAGTCATTTTTCTAACTATATATTTGAGGAAGATTATCTTTCAAGGTAATTTTTGATTTAAATAAGCATCCTTAAATGCTACAAGTAAAATTGTAATTGCATGTGGATACCTGACTAATGGCAGATGAACAAGCTAATGGGAGTGAGAGTAACCAAATAAGGATGTACTGTCAATATCTTAATAGTTGAAGGAAAAAATTTTATATATATAAAAATGCAGCAATGTTAGAAATGAACCAAAATGAAGATGCATAGTTAGACCTGAACAAGAGACCTTTCAGGTAGCATTGTAACTGACTAGTACGTTTGTGCTTTTGTTAGAGAAATGCCAATGAATATTTTTAGACAAGATGTCTTATCAGGCAACAGAGTGCCATCTATCACTGCATAACAAGAAAAAATAAAGCAAATAAATTACTTAGTAACTTTCTGTAAATTTGAACCATCGCCAGAAATGGCCAGAGCAAACTCTGGGGCATCTCACGTTTTATCAAGTCTTTGTAGCTACCACATCTAATCCTCTACAACTTTTAAAGACATTTTTAAAAATTTGTAAATCAAAATTCAAAGATTTGTCTCTCTCTCTCGTATTTCTTATGTTTTTAAGGCAATTGGAAGAGGCTGACTCAGTAAGTATAAAAAATAAAGTAGTGAATATAAAATAAAAGGGTAAGATAGGACAAAACCAATGAATTATTATGTACAATTTGAAAACAAATGCATTCAGCAGTAACAATATCTGGTTGATCTCCATGCCACTAGATGTAATTTCTCTGCAACACAGTCCCTGGCATTGGGGGAGCAAGGCAGGGGCTACAGGGAATTTTTAAAATAGAGGGGAATAGAAGGGTGATCCATGAAACTTACAATGGGAATGGAGAAATGCAAGGTGCAGCCTACTGAAGCAACAATGTGTGCAACTTTCTAGTGTGTTAGGGGAAAGGTCTTAATCCTCTGTGCTGCCCAGTGTGCTCTGTAATCTCTAAACAGCTGAAGGGTAGTTGGGCCATACCAAGCAAATGGCTGTTAGTGAAAGACACTAATATGTAGTGGGCAATAATTTTTGATGGGGGGCCACTCAAGATTTTGGAAAGTGGTTGAGGGCCGCACTCTTCCATGATATAAATGGAGATGCGGGGTCTGGAATGGAGGTTGGGTGCAAAAGGGAGCTTGGGGTAAGGGACTGGGGTGTAGGAGGGAGACTGGAGTCTGGAGGGAGTTGGTATGAAGCAGGCAGTTGTGACCTAGGGCAGAGAACTGGAGTGCAGGGGTTTGGGATGTGATGTAGATTAGGAGGGGATTGTGATCTGGAGAGGGGATGGGTAAAGAGAGACAGAGGGTTTGAGTATGTTGAATGGGGGAAGGTAGAGAGTTGGGGGAGGAAAGTGCTGGGGTGCCAGAAGCAGGCTGTGGCCAAGAGACTTACTTGCCAGCCGCCAAACTAGCCTGCCTGCAGAGCTTAAAATGTTTCCCAACCAGCCTGTGGCCTGGCCATGTGCTTCATGAATAACTGAGCCCAGGAGCAGGGGTGTGATTCTTCTTAGCTGCCTGGCAGTTTCCCATTGGAGCGGCTCCTAAAACTTTAAAACTGGAAGGAAGGGGTGGGCGACAGAAATGGAGCCCTACAGCTGTGTTTCTGCATGGTGTGCGGGGCTGCAAAGCAAGCTGGGGAGCCTGCCTGTGGGCAGGATCCGGTAGCTTGGTGGGCCAGATGAAGCCCATCTGCCATATTTTGCCTGGGCCTGCACAAGTAGCTTACTGACTGACAGTAGGGCTATGTCTACATTGGCGCAAGTTCTTGCGCAAGAACACTGACATTCTAATGTATGAAATCAGTGCTGCTTGCGCAAGAACTATGATGCTCCTGCTCAGGAATAAGCCCTCTTGCGCAAGAGGCCAGTGTAGACAGGCAACATGAATTTCTTGCGCAAGAAAACCCTATGGTTAAAATGGCCATCAGAGCTTTCTTGCACAAGAGAGCGTCTACACTGGCAAGGATTCTCTTGCGCAAAAGCACATCTCTTGCGCAAAGGCACATGCCAGTGTAGATGCTCTCTTCTGGAAGAGTTTTTGCACAAGAACTCTTCCGCAAAAGAGTTCTTGCGCAAAATCATGCCAGTGTAGATGTAGCCTAGGAGAATGGAGAATAGAATGGCAAATAGTACAAAAATTCAGTTCTTCCTTAGTGACAACTTACATGTGAAATGAAGGAGGAAAAGCACAGAGATAGTAGCAGCCATGAATGGGTGAAGGTCATAGTGTCAGTGAGTAATCCATGACCTACTAACCTGCTTAAATACATTGACTTGCATGCACACAATATTTCCTTGGTTTTTTTCCTGTCTTGTTCTGGTCTAAGGGTAATGAGATTGTTAGTTCTTACCTAAAAGTGATGCAAGTAGCACTAGGAGTGTATTGATATCATCATCTTCAAAGCATGATGCAGCACTTGCGATATTTTCACTGTAGTTCCACAGGGTTTTGCATACCAAGCAAGCCAACTGCCAGTCTGTAGGCCCAAAATCTCTTAAACAATCTACTAACCTGTTAGTTGGGGGAAAAAAAGTGTTAATGTTGTGTCCAATTTCATTCTCTCATTCCATTCAAAATCAAATCAGTCTTAAAACACACGCAGACCCAGCCCATGTTAGGAGTGCAGGGAAACAGGCATCAGCACAATAGTAAACTTAATATTTTACTTTCTTCCTCATTCTACTGCCCCTTCTTTTTCAAGTTCTGTGCCTGACTGATCTCCTGCTCCTGCTTGTTGTTTCACCAGCATGCACTCTGATGGTGACATGACAGCTGCTACAGAACTCTACCACATAGCAAAGCTGCAGAGTGGCTAGATAAGAACTGATTGCTCCCCCAAAAGTGGCAGCTTTGAAAAGCTTTCTCTGGCTCTTGACCTCTCTGAGTGGTCACTACTATAGTGTATTTCTCATGAAAACATTGGATGAAGTCCAGCTTTACAACTAGGGTTCCAAAGTTAATCCACCTACAATTCTGAGCAGGATGAGCCTTTGAGGGCAACAAAATCTAGTTATAGGGGTGCTACTGCCCCATAGCACCTCCTGCTGGACAAACCTGGTAATGCCAGCATTCCCAACTATTTCCTTCCCTGAGGCGCGTCTCCTCAGCTTTTCCACACACAGATCTTTATGGAAAATGTGCCTTAGACCTCCTGCAAAATCACACATTCGGTACACCTTCTAGGACAGTAAAAGTCCAACTAAAAAATTCCAACAAACAAAAAGTTTCTTATGCCCCTTGTCCTTCTCTTTTGTGCCTGTTTCCTGAGAGAACACAGGACTTAGACCTTTATTTTCAGTTTTGACCACAGTGGACTTGTCTGAACAGTGGAGATTTGAAATTTGGGGTTCATGTCACACAATTCAAAGTGAAACTTATCTGAAGCTACTGAGCTGAATTCGTAGTAAGAGTTTCGCAGGACTACATGTCAAAAAAAATGCCAATATACAGCAAGCCTGTTGTCAATATCCAGAATAATTACTACTGTAGTCAAATGGATGGACTTGGTTCCAGGCAAAATGTTTCCATTAACAGAAAGTTGTCACTAACTGTGTTGCTATTAAAATTGGAACCTGCAACCATCTACCATCAGAGAGCAGATATAACTGGTCACACATCCCCCTAACATTTTCAGACTCCATTCATTACCTTGTTGAAAGAGGAGCTATTCAAACAACATACAAAACTTTTAATTTTTCACAGCATTGGGGCACACGTTTCTCTGATCAACAGTATGAAAGCGTACAAGCAAATGGAAAAGTTATCAGATGAAGGTGGATGGTGTGCTCCTAGTTGTTCTATTTTCCATGTTCTCGGTTTGCTAGAGCAGCTCCCAAGCCATCTAATCATGAAGAAGTTTTCATAAATGGTAAGTCAGAGTGGAAGAAATTGGAGCCTAAACCAAGGAAGCATGAAGCATCAGAAGGTCATATCAACTATTCTTAGCCTAGAAAGAATTGTGCAACACTCAAGAATTCTGTGACTAGTGATGAAAAGCTAAAGCAGGAAATGAAAAGAAACACCATTGGCATTTAATGCTGCAGAGATTTCTATAGTGCATCCTATTTCTTGGTGAGACATTTTCCATTTTCTGGTGATGCTGAACACTGGGTCTGTGTCTAGACTAGCAAGTTTTTCCGCAAAAGCAGCTGCTTTTGCGGAAAAACTTGCCAACTGTCTACACTGGCTGCTTGAATTTCCGCAAGAACACTGACGATCTCATGTAAGAAATCAGTGCTTTTTTCAGAAATACTATGCTGCTCCCGTTTGGGCAAAAGTCCTTTTGCGCAAAAGGGTCAGTGTAGACAGCTCAGATTTGTTTTGCGCAAAAAAGCCCCGATTGTGAAAATGGTGATGCCCCGATTGAAGTTACTGTTGGGTATAGTCCTGTCCTCTGTAATTCGGCTCTAGTGCATGAACATGCATCTATTGAGCTCTGTGCAGATAGATGCAGCCATGTTCTGTTATTATCATCTTGGGAACTAACAGGATGTGTCTAGACTACAGGGTTTTGTCGACAAAAGTGGGGTTTTGTCGACAAAACTATACCTGCATCTACACTACCGCCGAGTTCTGTCAACAGTAAGTTGACAGAACGCAGCAGTTTTTTGTTGATGGCGGTAAATCTCATTCTATGAGGAATAATGCCTTTTTTTTGACCGTTATGTCGATAAAAGGTGCTATTGCATCCACACTGTGCTTTTTCCTCAGAGAGCATCTAGACTCTCTGTCAAAAGAGATATGCTGAGTAAAGCCCAGAGTCAGCTAGGGGAGTCCCCAGCAGATCCCAGGGAAATGCTGTACGGAGCCTGGGATCAGCTGGGGTGTCCCCCAGCTGACCCCAAGTTCCAGGTGGTATTTCAAAGCAGCAGCGCTGCATGGAGTCGGGATCAGCGGGGGATTGAGTCCATCGCTGAACCCACACTCCATGTTGGTGAGTCTGTTCTGAAATACACAAAAGCCTCCAGGCTCGTGTGCATTTCAAAGCAGAAGCACCCTCATGGAGCCCAGAGTCAGCGTGACTTCCCACTGGCATTTCAAAGCAGAGGCTCTTGTACATTTCAAAGGAGGAAAGCAGAAGTGGCTATCGACTCGTCAAGTAGTCGATGGAAATTCCAACTACTCGACTAGTAAATTAATTGTTATTTAACATCCTTAGTTTAGGCTGGAGTTTAGGGAAAACTTTCTAACGGTGAAATAAGTTGCCTATGGAGATTGTGGAATCTCCATCATTGAAGATGTTTAAAAACATTTTAGACTAATACATCAAGGATGATCTAGATAATACTTAGTCCTGTTGTGAGTGCAGGGGTCTGGGCTAGATCAGTGGTTCTCAACTAGAGGTACACATACCCTTGGGGGTACACAGAAGTCTTCTAGAGGGTGTATAATGTCATCTAAGTATTTGCCTAGTTTTACAATGGGCATTAAAAAAGCATTAGTAAAGTCAGTATAAACTAAAATTTCATACAATGACTTGTTTATACTGCTCTATATACAATATGCTGAAATGTAAGTACAGTAAAACTCCAGTTATCTGGAATCCAGTGGTCCGGCACTCCTGATAGTTCAGCACCACCTGGAATCTGGAAGTGCTCCAGGCAGCCGGACAACAGGAGCTGCTCTGCCCCGGGCATCCCGGAGTCAGCCGCTGGTCAGTTTCAGCAGCAGGTGACTTAGGGACGTCTGGGGCAGAGCAGCTGGCGTGTTGCCAGGTTGGTCCCGTAGTGCTGTCCCCTCCATCCCCCCCCCCCCCCCCACCCCCCCCAGCCCCCCCTTCCGATAGTCCTGCATATCTGATCATCTGGAACCCCCTGGGTCCTAAAGGTGCTGGATCATCAGAAGTTTACTGTAATTACTCCCCAGTGCTTCCTGGGGCTTTAAATCAAGCTAGCACATCCACATTAGGGGAGCCTGCCTCAGACTAATTTCAAGGCTTTCCTGTAGTGTGGACACGTGATTTTGAAATAGTTATTTTAGGAGTTATTATTCCAAAATAACTTATTTCAAAATACCCTGTAGTGTAGACATACCCTCAGATACCAGGTGACACAGTACCAACAGTTAAAGGAACAGATATGGGCATATAATGCCTATATGTGCACATGATAAGCAATAAAGCTTTA